CGAGTCAAGAAGCTGGGCCAGTATGTTTCACGAAAACAACACAGGCCATCGCTCTTTTCTCAAACAATGACGTCGACCAAGGACCTCAAACCTATGGTGTCTTACCCATAGACAGGTCCGACGACTCAAAAAAGGATTCGTTGGAGCTCCCCAAGGAGCAAGAACCCTTAACAGTCTCATCACAGATTGAACAGGTAGTCGCCCAAGCCGACACTCTGACATCTGATGAAGAAAGAGACAAACTTCGCCAAGTTCTTTTAAAATATGAAAAGTCATTTTCACCTGACCCAGACATCATCCAACTTCACAAGTTGGATGATCCTGCAATTAACTCGATGATACTGTATCTGACTGACCCAGACAAATACACTCCATCGAAAGGTAAACTGGATTCCAATCCAGACCTAAAAGTCCTCTTTCAGCTGCGCAAACAGTTAAAACTACTCAAGGACAGCCTAACTTTAGCTCATGGAGCGATGTCCTCACCCGTGTTCGCGGTCTCCCATGACCGAAGGGGGGTGACGCCAGTTAGGATAATGCTACCAGACGCGATAACGTGATTCAAATCTGACATCCAGAGTGAGTGGCGCACCGAAGCGTCATTTTCTAGTTGCTTAATCACTGCTTTTGTCAATGTTGAAACGTTGTTTTACTGGTTGCTTAGTCACTGTTTTTGTCGATGTTGAGACATCGTTTAATTGGTTTTTGGTATCGTTTCTGAACACCCCAAGCAAGAATGAATTTTGTTGTGTAGTTAAGTTAGAGACTAAGAGGCCTTTAACCATGCCAACATGCAGTTCATTCGTTAAAATGCCATCTTTGCAGAGTCAATGTAGATTAATGCTACCTTAAGTACCATAATCTACATTGATCTCACAACGCGTGAGCCGAACCTACTCGAACAATTCTATTCGGGGGGGTAGCTAATTCTTTTTGATGAGTCTCGCCATAGACTTCCAAAACATTTATGGGGAAACCAAACACCCAATCTCAAGTCGTTCGTCTAAAAGACAACAGACAATTGAACCAAACTATATTTTACCATGTAAAGCTAACTTAAACCAAGTTAGAAATGGAAAAATAGTTTGGAACACTCTTCTATAGGTATAAATCCCTATAGTTACCCTTTTCAGCATGTTCCATCCCTTAACTGGTAGCTGTAGCTGTTCCCAATCATAATAGCTTACACACCAGGTGCATATAGTTTAAGGCCTTATGTAAAATCCCCTTCATAAGCCCACCTTAAACCAGATAATTGCATGTCACATTTGAACCAGAACGGCAGACTGGACATCCACCCAGAGATGACCGTCGCTGGAGGAGACCTGCAATCCTGACGTTGGTCTCCACACTTCATCCAGTGGCCACATCTTCAGTTCAATCCAAGGGAACCCTCTGCATGCTGATCAATCAACACCTCCAATCGTTGTGGATTTACCGTTGTGGATTATATGACTTTTTCCAATGGATTACAGACTCTGTTTCCAAGGGGGTTAAAGCATTGCTACAATGGAATTACCAACAACATTATGGAATTATCATCAACACAATGGAATTACCAAAACATTGTGGAATCACCTTGACTTTTGGTTTCCTTGCTGGATTACATCAAGACCAGGGACATTCAAAGGCGTAAGTTCATGTTGGAATTCATCCCCATGGACAGGCGATGATTTCCAAAGGGGGGACTGTAGTGAACTTAACCTGATGTCAAAACCTTGACCTTAGGCACCTTATGGGACAGAAACTGTCATTTCATTGATTTGAATCCAGAAATACAGGTTGACCCATCCTGAGACTTTCTTTCTTAAAT